GAACCCAACTCCCTAAAAGCAAGAGCAAAGAAAACCTTGATTTCATTTTTTAATTATTTTATTTTAAATAAAAAAATAATAAAGACCTCACACAATACTTTGTTCATGTCATGTTGACACTGGAACTAAATTAAAGTGCAAGTTTTATGGTTTTTTTCTTTTGAGCAATTCCACACACATACATGTAAACAAGTCTCTTGCCTATGATTGAACCCCCCCACCTCTCGCCAAAGTTTCCAGTTTGCAGAGGACTGAAGTGGCTGGCAGCTGTCATGGCAACACCAATCACAGACAAGATAATGCCTTGTTGGTCCTGGCCCTCCAGCAGGCAGGACAATTAGTTACTTGAAGTCTCACAGGCTGACGAACTTTACACACACTCGTTCTCAGGTCTTTGAGAAAAAACGCAAAGTACTTCTCTGCTGGGCCCTGGCATCCCAAAAGTGAGGGCAGGCACCAGCGGGGGGTATCAGTGTCGAGAGAGTCCAGTCTTAGCCAGTTCTCTTTCCTTTCACAACAGATGACTGTCCCTTAATGGTCTCCCTGTGCTCAGGGCTGGGTCGCAAGAAGCGAGGGAGGAGGCCAATTGGCACGGAGGCCTCGTGGCACGGAGAGCGCAGGCTAGCCCAGGAATCCGATTTGACTTTTAAACAAAAAAGGTCCTCAGGTTGTGTGGCCGACGCTGGGGGCTCCTAACTGATGACACAGCGCTCCTTGTCTTTGGCCTGACTGCCGACACTGGTCTTTTCACGAATGTACATGAGGTCGCTGTGCACGCTGGGTCTGCGCGCAAAGGGCGCCAAGATTCCAAAGGCGTCTCCGGGGTCGCCGCCGCCGCCGCTGCCCGCACGCAGAAGCTTCTTGTTCCTCAGAGCCTTTTTGTGCAGCACGTCACAGTACTGCACAGACACTTTGCGGTGCAAGTCGGGGCTCATCTCGCTCGGCAGCTTGGCCATAGCAAAGAGCGCACGGAACATCTGGTCCAGGCTGCTGTTCTTCTTGGCTGAGATCTCGAAATAGGCACAACGCTGAGGGTCGTCGCCTACCAGCTGTTCAATCTCGCGCTGCTCCACTTCTCGGTAGAAGTCCCGGTCCCCTTTGTTACCGCAAATGACCAGAGGCACGTCCACATTCTCTTTGGTTTTGTTCTTGAGGCAAGACTTGGTGTCTAGAATCTGCTGTTTGAGCCTTTGCACCTCCTCGAATGAGTCT